CTGAGCTATAAGTTTGCCTTTCCTCGTTGAAATAATCAAATTGAGTCACTCCTTTTTATTAAGCAAGGGATTCCATACTTGTATGTACTAAGGAAGATTTCTGGTGCTGCCTCCCAGCCTTATCTCTGGCAGCCAATAGTAGGCGACACTTATTTTCTTTTCTGTATAACTGGATCAGTCCATGGGAAAAGAAGGAGGTTAGGAACTGGGTGCTTTACTCTTTCAAAAGTATATCTAAGATAATGAGGTCCATTAGAATTTACGTGCTTCCTTCAATTTTATATATAGTTAGGAGGAAACAAGTATGTTGCAGTTAAAATTGAAAAATACTTTTCCTCTGCTAGCTAAGTTCTTCAATACACTGATCTAAAAAGCTATACAAAAGTTCACTAGCACTGCGAATGCCAAGCTGCAACTTACTGTGAGCAGGATCTTGGAAAGGTTTTCACCTGGTAGCAGTATAAGTATAATGTTTTGCTGCTATTAGCAAGTTTTTATTTTGACCAAATCTTTATTCCATGGCACTACAGGTTGCAAAACTTCCACAAGTGGTCCAACAGCAGGCTACTGTTGCCAACATTCAACAGATGGTTTCAGTTTCCCAGCAGGTAGGTTTTGTGCTTGTCAAATTTAGCACTAGAAACATCATCCTAGTGAAAGCTCATTTGTTTCGAATGTGTGTATTTTCATCTTATGTGTGGCATAGGTGGTATTTTGGAAGGATATAGCAAGTGGCTTCTATAAAAATGAATCGTGTGAATACTGAGTCAGCTGCTGTATAGTCGTAGTCTAGAACTTGGGTAGATGGAGCAATGTTTGTTCATCATTGTAGATAAGTGGAAAAACAGATTTTAAAAGGTATTTTGTAGCACTGAAAGAATTTATAATAATTGGTTTCTTGTGATGTGTAGTCAAGATAGCAAATAACTGAACTGATGAGTGCTGTCTGAGTTTGTTCAGCTGAGTTTGTTCTGGGAGAGTTAGAACAAACTGAGGGTTACAAGTTGTTTTGTTCCAGTTCACAAAGCTGTGCCAAGTGCCTTGTAAAAGTTTCAGAATGGTTTGGTACCTGTTCTAAGTGTTGTATGGACAAGAGAAGGTCATACGATTTGGTTACCCTCCCCTAACTACCAGGCTGTTTATTTAACAATTTAGAACAATGTCATTCAGACCATTAGCAACAGGCACAAGTTGATTGGAAGGAATGATTTAGCTTTGGATAGTGGATGAAGTTACTGCCTTTGGTGCACAAAAATCTGAGCCAGTCAGCTCTTGATCTGTCACAATTTATAGTGCAGTGTTTTAGTGCAGAATAAAATCTGTGACTTTTTATCTCCAAACGATGATGAAGAGGTGTAAGCTGACTGATAGCCACTGCAAATGTGAATGTTCAAGGGCAAGGTAGACAGCAGGGCGCAGAAACCTCATCACTCAGCACAAGTTGAGTTGTCCTGTGCAGTCAGCAGGAGCTCCTAGATAATTTTTCAAGGGACATTAAAAGCTAGATTTCCAGAAGTCACTGGTGTTGGCATAACTCCAGGACTGTTGAAATCCATGGTAAAAAGACAAATAACCACCTCCCCTCCCACACAAGTCAGCGATGTCACTGGCAGTAGGATCAGGCCATGCCAAGTATGTTTAAAACTTCAGTCTCTATGTGTATGTGGCATTCTTTTTACCTCCATTTTTAGTGCTTCCCAGAGGATTCCTCTTGGATTGATCAAGAGCTGACTTTCCCCTAGAGAAGCCCTTGGAGCTTCATTTGGTTTCTGCCTCTAAAAAAGACAGTTGAACCTGCTCAGTTTTAATTACCTTGTCACCTGAAAAAAAGAGAGGATGAATTTTCTTCTCCCTTGCTCTGGGTAGAGATATGAAAATTAGATTTCTGGATAGAGTTCAAACTGTTCTACCCTAAATTGGCAATAGAGACTGGCAGCTGTAGTCTGAAAGGGGAATGTCAGAGACTGATAGGAAGCTTTGGCGGCTGTATTTATTGTCACAATATGGGAGCAGAGTCGGCATTTTAATCTCTTTGATCCTCTGTTCTTTTCCCTGTTCCTTCACTTCTGCTTCTGCAGTACAAGAATTTTCCAGTTTATCCAGTGGGATTTCTATACCTTTCATCTATCTTATGTAAAGGATCTGGGGGAATGTCCTTTGATTTGCACTGCAGAGATCTAAGTTAAGGCATCTCAGCTCTTAGTTCTGAATTATAAGGTACTAGAAGATGTGACAGAATGGTGTTCCTCAGTGAAACCACAGCCTGTGTTCCCAGAATCCCTCCCAGCTTTCTTGCTTTGACCAAGGTGTTTGTCAGTCAAGAGAGCAAATGCCTATGTAAGAAAGATGCCTTCTGTAGAGCAGAAATGTAATGAATGCTCAGTTTAATGTCAAACTGTTCTGTCATTGCTTTGTCATCCTCATGTCTAGGTACAGGCTCAACCCCAAACTGTGACACTTTCTCAGACGACAGCAGGTCAACAGCAAGTTCAGGTGATTCCTGCCACAACTGCTACTGCTCAGGTCGTCCAGCAGAAACTCATACAACAGCAAGTCGTGACAACAGCATCTCCCCAGATTCAGGCTCCGGGTGTACAGAATCCAGCCCAGACACCAGCAACATCTGAAGCCCAGAATCAGCAAGCAAAAGTACAAATGAGGACGCCTACTGTCAGATTAAAGGCACCTACTAAACCAAGTTGAACTAATGGTTAAAATGCAATAACAGGGAAACCCAGCGTTTCTTAGTTGCTAAGCCAAGTGAGAAGCTACTCCAAACACCCAAATGAAGACAAACCACCTCTATTTTTTTTTTTTTAGCGGAAGTGTTTTTTGCTGGTGAACATTTAAACATGGAAACTCTCATATAACTTCAGTGTATTAGCAACTGTTTAGCACTCAAAATCTGTACAAGCTGCATTCTGCCAGTGTTCTCTGTGTTCATTCAGACCAGATAAAGCAAACATTAGTTACATTTAAAACCTGCCCAGCTTCACAAAAGTAACATGGTAATATGCCATACATATCAGTAAAATTCATCTGCCCGTGGGAATATGCAGTTCTTTGCTGTAGTTCAGATGTGTGCTGAATATCCACGGTGAAGCCGTTCGAAGAACCAGGTGTGGCTATTACAGCAAAGTATTTTCCATCTCTATAAAAGCTGCGTGTTGTTCTTGCTTGAGGTAAATACCTCTGGAAGATCTTAACATATTTGAAGTGCTCCCTGCAAAGTTTAGCCAATAAATGTGAAAACCTGTAAGTATATGTAATTAAAAAAGGAAAGAAAAGTTTCATTCTCCATTTTTGTAAGTCTTTTAAAAATGTTTGTTAGTAGTTTTGTGTACAGTTTACTGAATCACCCAACCTGTGCCCTCATTCTCATATTTCACTTTAAGGTAATGGATATTTTAGGCATGAACTGAGTAAATACTGTGTTGATAGTAGATGTGTATTAAAGTGTAGCCCTTTCTTTTTTCGGTGGAAGATGTTTGGTGGATACAGCTCAACTATTGATCCATAGCTGTTCCTCATGGGAATTCCATCACGAAAAATCTCCAACTGATAAAATTTAATCTCTCAGTTTCATTCTGCTTTTGCAACATGTTTAAATGTTCAGTACTTTCTACTCGGCTTTCAGCTCGGGGAGGGGTGGGGGGCTAGGGGAAGGGAGAATAGTGAAATGAAATCTAAGACTTACTTCTTCAACTGTGTAAAGAATAAGATCTAACTTTTGTACTATTCTTTTACTAAAGCTAATGATGAATGTATCTTCAGGTGGGTATTTTGGATGTGAATAGAGCGTGGCCTCTTCCTCCAAATCAGTTTGCCTTATTGTTATGATGAAAAAAAAAAAAACCTTTGCAAAAAGCTGCATAGAACTGTGGGGGTTTTCTGTTCTTTTCTTGCATAAAATGAAAAGCAGACTCTGCAAGCACTGAGTGAGGAATCAAAAAGTTCTTGGTGGCTTGAATGGATTCGTTTTGCTTTTGGCCATAAAGGTGCATGACGTGTCAAATCCAGACAGAATTCTCACATTCCTTCTCTGAGATGGTTTTCAGATTATTTTTCCATTCTGTGATCTTTTTACTCTTAGGAGGGGAGCCTGTTTAAAGGCAAGGAAAGCATATCTCTTGTTCCTACGCTTTGTATGTACACACCTATTTGGTACCCAGCAGCCCAAATGACTTAAACAAGAAAGAATACCCATTAGTAGGATAGGGACAGCCCATTCTATTAAGATCACGAATGTGAACACCGGGTCAGGCAGCCTTCCCGATTTATCTGTGTGTTAATTTTATACCTCTTTTCTCCTGCAGCCTCTTGGACCCTCAGCTCTGAAATTACAGGGGCAGTGTTGGGTTTTTTAAGCTGTTTGTGCATGTGGCAGCATTCCCTCAGCCCTCTTTGGGGTTTGTGCCATTACCTAAATGTCGTTTCTAGCCGCAAAGCTGGTGTTGTTGGCGGTGGAATAGTTGGAAATGCGAAGCAGATGCAGTGGTAGCGGATGACTGACACTGTGTATATGGTATCGTGATGCTCATCCAAAAATACTGCTTAGTTAGCCCCAGTTTACTTTTAAATGTTTAGCTGTTACTATGTGCTTGGGTGGGGGGGACACACTTCCAACAGTGGGGAAGCTGTTGGCTGCACTGTTGTGCTGATCTGATTTGGTGTCTCGAGAGGCGACTGTTTCTTGTTTAGGTCAGTTCATGAAGATAAAAATCACCTTTTTTTACTTTGTTTCTTTCTCCTTTTTTTTTTTTCCTTTCGATGTGTGTTTCTCCCAGGAGCGCGTTAGGAAGTCAACGTGTAAATAGCTGATGAACATTTGTACTTGATGCAGTAGGATTATAAGGAATAGCGATGTATCCTACCTGAAGGTGTAATAAAGTGTACATTTTTATAACGCCACCGTGCTCTGCCTTCTGTAAGCGGGGGGGATCGGGCGGCTCTCGGCAGCCCTGCGCTGCCTGGCTCGGTGCAGCGGCGGCTGCGGCACCGGCCCCGCCTCTGGGCGGAGCGGCCGTGGCTCCTGCTCCGCCCTTCCGCCGGCAGCATGGCGCGGTCGGCGGCGCTCGCCGCCTGTGTGGAGGCCGTGCTGGGCAGCCGCAGCAATGCCAACCGCGTCTTCGAGCTCCTGGAGCTGCTGGCGGTGCGGGCCGGGGAGCGGGGAGGGAGCGGGCCGGGGCCGGGCGGGCTGTGGGGCGGCGCTGAGGGGTGAGGGCCGCGGCTCGCCTCTCGCCGGCCTCCCCTCATGGACGCGGTCTTACAGGGCCAGGAGGAGGAGGAGGACATCCTGTGCGCCGGCAGGGCCTGCAGCCGGCTCTTCGGGGCCTTGCTGGAGCGCAGGGAGCTGTTCGTAGGCCCGCTGCCCGCCGAGGAGGCCTCTCTGGCCGGTGAGTGGGGAACATCCCCGGGCCTGGGTCGCGCTTGGCTGGGTCTCGCCCCGCCGCCCCGAGCTTTCAGGGTTGTGTGTTTCACCCTTAGATAACTACAGCGCTGAGGACAAGTACAAGATCTGGATGAGGCACCGCTACAAGGAGTGTGTGGATTGCTTGGCGGAGCTCATGGGGCACGAGGCCTTCCAGGTGAAGGTAAGGTCTGAGCCTGCTGCCGAGTTCACACGGGGGTCCCTTGCGGTGCAGAAGCATTTATCGCTCTGATATCTCAACGTGAAGGGCCAGCGGTGCGGTGGGATGTTGCTGGTGCTCTGGCTCGCCCCTGCTCACCAGGCTTGCGGCGTTCTGAGCGAGGAGCATATTTCATTCTCTCTCCTTTGGTCTCTCTCACAGAGTTGAGGTGGGTTTTTGTCTTGTTTTTAAAGGAATTGTCGCTGTGCACCCTTATGAAGTTTGTTGAGTTGGAGGCACGATACCCACTGATTAGAGTAGAGTGGAAAGGGAGTTTAACTTTTCCTCGTGACCTTCTTAAGGTAAGCTGCAGAACTAAGTTCCTCTTGTCAGTTACGTGATGGCACACGACCTCACATGCTCACCTTCTCCAGTACTAAAACATCAACCTAGGAGGGTCTCAGTGCCAAGGGAAGGTGGTGGTCTGGAAGAGCACTGAGAGCTTCTGTCCCTGGTAAGGTGCCAGGTGTGAGCTGGATTCCTGAGTGTTTATGAAGTACCAGTGCTGGAGTCACTTTCTGGAGCCCATGGTGGCACTCTCAAGGACAGGGACATGAGAGGGAAGGTGCTGACCCTGGTTCAGCCGTTGTGTCATTTCTAAATGACGTTGTCTTTGATGGAAGGGGCCCCTTGTGGGTCTTGGGAGGGCCTGTCAGAATGGCTTGTGAATGTTGCCCTGGGGAAAGCAGCACACAACCAAGCTGTCTGCCTTTCAGAAGGACAGGAGGGTACCTCAACCAACTCAGCTCTCTGGCTACTCCAATAGAGTCTGACTTGTTGCTTTCCTTTACCATCCTTTTGTTAGGTAGTTGTTGATGGCTTGCTGCCCTTAAACGAGGATGCTTCACTGCTCATCTCTCGCTTTCAAGAATACATGGAGTATGATGACATTCGGTACTTTGTCATAAGGGCAGTCACTGAGAGTATTGGACAAGTCATGCAGAAGACAAAAGAGGTAACATGTTCTTGTTGAGGTGGGTCTGGATAAACTGCTCTGAAACAGTGTGTCTTGTGCGTGAAGCAGGGAGCGACTAGTGGTATATGGAAAGGTTTGGAAGCAAGAGGAATGAGTGTGCCTACTCGAAGGCATTGGGTTTTAATTATTTTTTATGACTCTTCAGTCTCAAATTGACAGTAGTTCAAGACACATTGATCCTGCAGATCCTTCTGGTTTTACTCAAGTCTCTGCAGCTCAGGTGGCACACACAGAACTTTTAAGTCTGTTCTCTCTTTGGTGCAGAAGAAGAGTCTGTTTTCTTTAATTGTATCCACCAATTGTGCTAAACCAGAAGCAGAGTTTCTGTCTCTTTAGTTCAGAGATAGGTTTTGTGTTGTGCAAAAAGATAATGCTCCAGGACAAGGCAGCAATAGAGAATACACCAGCCATCAGCATTTTTCCTTTCCTTTTTGTTTCCTAGGTACATACAGTGCTTAGGAGGTAGCAAGATGCTGGCTTCAGTATTGCCCTATCTCTTGTGGAACTTGCTTCATGTTTAATTATATGCTTTTTTCTCAGAGGCCGCTGCCATTTTACCAGCAGAACGTCTTTTCACTCATTTCCCCCATTAACATGCCGAGCAAAGAGAGTGACATGGTCAAATTTCTGGTGAAGCAAGGTTAGTAAGCTCCCTGTGATGGAAAAGAAAATCAGGTTTAACATTTAAATTGTGTAAAGACTTATGTTATTGTTTGGTTATGGAAAACATTTACTGCTGTGATCAAAGTGATTCTAAACAGTGTTACAAAATTCACATTCCTCAGTCTGCAGTGGGGTTTCTCATAGACTTCTGTCAAGACAAGGACTTCAGCCTAAATTTTTAGGGTATCAAAGGACTAAGTAAAAAATGGTCATCTTAATTTTTTTAAACATCTATGTCAAGTTCAGCATCTCTTTCCCCTTTCTTCTTAGACAACTGGGAGGAATTGAAAGTGTCAAAGCTGCAGGTAGGTGTTCATTTGGTGCTTCAGAGTTGAAATTTTATCCACCTAAGGTAGAGCTTTACCTACACCAGTGTTTGGTGTAGCTTTACCTACACCATTTAACTCACTGTTTGCAATTCTGTTTTAAGGCACACAAGCAGGCCTTTGAAAAAATGTGGCTCAGTTTCTTGAAGCACAAGGTGAGTGTTCCTTCTGCCACTGATCTGTACCACTCTTCTGTCACTAATCTTTAGAGGCTGTCATTGCATGGAGCTCCTGGTAGGACCCCACTATTTCAGTGTTGGATGAGAACAGCGCAGTCACCACTTCTGCTGGGTTGTTCTGCCTAGAAACATGACCTCATGTATGATCTGTTTCTTCTCCTTACTTTTGGCATCTTTTTTTCCACCTTAAACGAATCTAACCCAAGGAGTGACCTGCAGCAGTAACAGTCTCTTTTCACATGTTGAAGGCTACCAAGCTTTATTGCTGGTGACTTTCACATCTGAGCTGTGATGACACTTTTAGTTGTGAGCACTTGCTGCTTTCAATGAACTTGATGGTCATGTATCACTTGTAAGCTCTCATATTTGGGAGCTGTTGCTGAAAGCTATATTGTCCTGGCACATTCCCTTTTGTTTGTGTGTTATCTTTTTGAACCAGGGGTTGCTGTTGCTCTCAGAGTTCTCTCACAGTGATTGTTTGACTGTATTGTGTCATCCTTCACAGCTACCCGCTGGCCTCTACAAAAAAGTTCTTGTTATTCTGCATGACTCCATCCTGCCTTACATGAATGAACCCACTCTCATGATAGATTTCTTAACACTGGCATATGGCATAGGTGAGTGAAAACAGGCTTTTTATCCTTTGTGATACATACCTGCAATGTACCAAGTACGTATGAACTTGGAAGGTCTGCTAGATGCAGCGCCATGGCATAGATGATGAAACATGCACTTTTGGCTGGGATGAAGCTAAGGAACAAGGGTGAACTCCACTGTTACTAAAAATGAGATAGTTTTTACCTCTGTTTGTCAGTGTTGTTGCTCCTTGTGTGTAAGGAAAATAATATTTAAAGGCTTGGGAAGAGTAGAATACTGGAGTGATCTCTTAAATAGAGTTCAGCCAGCACTGCTGATACCTGGGTTGCATCGGGACACAGGATGCACAGATTCCTACGGGGATATCCTAAGACCTTTGCTGCCAGTGTGGCTTTATTGAAAGATTAGAGCATCATGTTTTTATGTCTCTCTCCTTCAGAGTCCTACAGTTTAATCTTTGTAAGAAACATGTGACCCTCTGGAAGGTTTTAGATTAAATTGTGTCACCTTACAGCCATCATGATTTCAGGTTTCTCTGATCCTCTGTTCTCTGATTTCAGGTACTCTTTTGTGGTCCTTCTGTGGAGGTTTTATAATAGAAACAAGTTGAAGATGATCAGTTTTGGGGTTTGGTTTTGGTTTAATTTTTATTGCGTTGATACCTGCCTGCTTTCTTACAGGTGGAGCAATCAGTCTTTTAGCCTTAAATGGATTATTTATTCTGATTCATCAACATAATCTGTAAGTAAAATGAGCATATTGTTTAAAGGAACACGGGGGTTTGCATTTATATCTTTATGTAAAGGAATGGAAATGGATTCTCCACAGCTGCAGGCCTTAAATTCCCCCATGAGAGAGCCAAACTCTGCACCAGAGGCTCAGCTGTTTGGATGCTAGCTCTTTTGGTAGTCTGACTTTATTTGCAGCTGAGCCTAAATATGCTCTTCTCCAGACTGTGGCTGCTCAGCACTTGAAAATCGATTTCCATTGATCTGATTACATAGTGAAGCAATAGTCTTTAGTGTGCCTTTCACTGGATCGTGTACCATTTGCAGTCAGTGGACATAGCTTCACATCCTGAAAATGGCTGGGCGCTGCTAGAGCCATAAATTCTCCTTACAGCTTGTTTTCAAGTGGTGGCTGTAGAGAGGAGACTAAGAAAGCTAAACAGAGCACAGCAGTGGTCTGTAGTGAAAGCACAGGAACATTTAGGCACAATGTAGTCCCACCACTAACGGATGTCTTTTTCCTGTTTTATAACAGGGAATATCCTGACTTTTACAAAAAGCTGTACAGTCTTTTAGACCCTTCTGTATATCACGTGAAGTACCGAGCCCGCTTCTTCCATTTGCTTGATCTGTTTTTGTCTTCATCGTAAGTAGCATCTTTATATTCACGTATTTTCCTCCTGCTTTTCTGTTGTTCTTGAACAGTCCCCCACGTCTGGATATTGTGTGTTCAGTGTGCCTACTGGATTAGATTCATTTTTACTGAGAAAACTGAATCTAAGGGTGTTACTGTAGTGGTGTGTAATTTTTCATATGCTGTTTCTGAAGATTTGCCATACAACATCTAGTTTCAGGAAGTAAAAATGCAGTTAGTGATCTGAGTTTGATCTATGAACGATTATGGATGTATTTTGATCTGTATTCCATTTGGCTGAAGGTGGTGATTTTTGTGTCAGTCTTTATGAATATGGAAAAGTAACATTCACAGGCTTTTTATAGGTGATAAAGCTGTTGATAAATTGATGACCTTTTGCAGACATCTAACATTGAAATATGAAGTGTTTGACAGTCTGTCTTGATCCTGTCAAATCATCGTACACAGGGAAGAAACAAGATAAGCAGCTGGTCATATAGTTGCCATCATATGTTAGAAAATAAACCAAGAGTAATGCTTTACAGTTCAGCACTGAGCATTTAATATCAGGCTGCTTGTATCCATAGTGTACCTTGGAGAGAGTAACAAGGTCTGACAGATGGTGTCCTATGGGGTGGCTCTGCTGAGCCTTGCAAGTATAACAAGCCCTAGGGCTGAAGGCTGAGCGGCTGAAAATTGTCATTTTTCATCCTGGTTCTTCTGACCTGAAAAAAGTGCCTGGATGAGCTGATTGCTGTTAGAAATTTGCATTTTTACCATTAGAAAAAAACCCTTATCCTGCACATTTACATTATAGCAGCCTAATGTTCCCATTAACAGCTGCAGTCCTTGCTTTAGTCCTGGAAGTATTATGTAAATTTACCATCATGGCCTGTGTATTAATTAAACCCCAAAAATGACATGAGAAGAAGTGCTTGCCTGGCCAAATGTATAAACCCAGAAGTTTATAAAAGGACTGAATAAAGACTGCCGTGTGAATGACCATGTACCAGAGCTGTGCTTGACAAGTGCCTGGAGCAGTGCCATGCATCTGGATTGAATTGATTTGAGATTATTCATGCACTGAATGGAAATGCTCACAAATTTCTTCCAGAGAGTGCACAAGAGCCTATATTGCTGCTTGAAATCAGGATTCTAATAGCTTCTCTTTACTCCATAGCCAAAAAATCCCGAAGAGCCCCACAGATCTTTACGCTGACCTGCTGTTTGGATTGGTGAGGCTCACTTGATAGGACTTTTACAAGCTGGTTTCTTCTGTCTCCAACAGTCACCTGCCAGCGTACCTGGTGGCAGCGTTTATAAAGCGCCTCTCCCGGCTGGCCCTCACTGCTCCTCCTGAGGCTCTGCTCATGGTCGTTCCCTTCATCTGTAACCTCTTTCGGAGGCACCCCTCATGCAAAGTGCTAGTACACAGGCCTAATGGGCCAGAAGGTAAGGGGGAAGGTGGGCAGAGAGTTCTGTGTTCTGCCTTGAGGCAATGTAAAGAGCAGGATTCCTGTGAAGGAGGAGGTGATATCCCAGTTCTGAGGTTCAGAGGATCATTCTGTGCCTTGAGTTTGTGAGAAGCCAGCAGGCTGCTCCTGCCAGTTCTGTAACTGTGAAGACCTGCCTGCATTGCTCCTCTGACCTTGGGCCTCACAGTTGGTTCCCCTGCTGTCGTGATTCCCTGGGTGAAGGCTGCTTTGAGCCTGACACACTGACCCAGGCTGCTTCCAAGTGCTAAAGGACTGGCAGAGCTGTACCAGGCACTGAGCTTGTCTTGTTCTGTGGCATTGCTCTGGGTCTCTTTGTTCCCCTTTGGTGCTACACACATCACACAGGAGGTATTTGCTCTCTATTTCCTTAGATATTTCAGAAGATCCATATATTATGGAGGAGGAGGAGCCATCCAAAAGCAGGGCTTTAGAAAGCTCTCTCTGGGAGATTAAGGTATGTCAGTTAAAAAGGAACTTCTGCATCTGGTATGGGTTTCCTCCAACTTTGCTGCTTCTTTGACACATGTTAGCAGTCCCACTTACACGAACCTGCTGAGGTATGTCCTGCAAATGCGATGAGCTTCTGGATGATCCTTTACTCTGTACCCTTTTCTGTCCTAGCATAAGAGGCAAAGAATTTCATGTACATGTCAGTTAGGGGCTTGTGAGCACACAGCTGACTCTGAAGCTAAAAAGTGTGCAGTTAACAGCTGAAACAGACTAAATAGCTGAAAACCTATGAGGCTTTTTATTTGCTGTGGAGGGAGAGAGGAACTTGCTGAGCACTGATGGAAATTAATTGGGTACAGCTAGGTCATCCTGTAGAAATGGGTTTAAAAACGCTAGAGAAGATTGTAAAGTTCACCTTTCACCTGGATCATTTGTAGGATAGCGCATGAAGGTTGAAGTTGGTTAAATTACTCCTGACGGTTCTAAAACCCTAATGCCAGGATTATCACTTTCATTTAAATGCTACAAGGGTTTTGTGTAAGGGGCTGAAACAGCAGCAAGAATGTTGTGCAGGAGCCAGGAAGTCCAGAGAGCTGGAGCTTGGCTGCAGGATCAGGGCAATAGGAGGTAGCAGAGTTGGGTTATACATTGTAGGCATGACCTGTGGAAGAGTCCCATCTCTCTTGAGCTGGATTTGAATGGGATGAGAGGGGCCTTTGATGTGAGTGAAAGATGGCTGAAATCAGGATTTCTTGAAGCCCTATGGTAGCACAGTACAGCAGACTTGCTCCTGCCAGAATTTGATGTTCCCTGAAGATCAGACCACCAAAGGGGCCGATACCTTTGTGGGAATCCAGATGGATGTGTGTTACCCTCTGTTTACGGGACCATCTCTTGTTTGTCTTGCTTTTGCAGACTCTACAAAGCCATTATCACCCAGAGGTGGCCAAGGCAGCTGCTATCCTGAACCAGTCTCTCTCTGAAATAGAGGATGACATATCAGGACTCCTGGAGCTCTCAGCTTATGAGGTAGTGTTGCTGTGCCTTTGTGAATGATTGGAACCAGAGGAAAGGAGTCTGGCTCCTGAGTGCAATAGCTGTGTCCTGTTCATCAGCCTTGCTGCTGGGGAGGGAGCTAGACTGACTTTTAGTTACTCGGAGCCAGGGACAAACAGGAAAACGTTCATTAAATAATGGAGCACGAGCAGCAGTTGTGACAGGGATGGCTTTTATATAAAAGGGTTTTTTTACTAGATCTTCTAAGAGGTTAGAGTGAGCAGTGGTATCAGCCAGGGTGAAGAGCTTGTACTGAGTTTTGCCAATAGCTTCTGTTTTTTTCTTTGTAGCTTTTTGATAAAGAAGTAAAGAAGAAGGTGACTGATGTGCCCCTGGAGTTTGAGCAAGTGCGAGGCTTGTTTGGGAAGAAAAATGATGTTTTTGCAGAGCACTTTTCTTTGGATTGATGTGATCTCCTGCAAACACATCTGCACAACTGACTGATCTTAGGGACGTGCACAGAGCTCACACTGTGCTCAGCAATTCTGCCTTTGAAGTATCTCCATGTGAGGAGAGCTGGACTGCTTGAGAAAGGTGCAGCCGCCTTCAGCGACCTTTGCCACTACCCATGGGTGGACTTCCCTTTGTTTCTCATGCTCGTGTACTGCCACCCGATACTTGGATTTTCCTCAGAGCAAGGTTTTCTGGACCTGTTCATTGCTGGGATTCGAGAGCTGCTGGTGCTGGCTGTGGTCAGTAACTGCACCATCAGCCCATCTTGCTGCCATTCGATGGGACTGAGGGTACTTGTGGTCTCTGACTGCTCCTTTTACTTTTCAGATGAGTTATTTTTATACTAGAGCTGACAACCTGTTTGTAGCAAGAGACTTCAACAAACAGCTGTAAACACCTGGTGATATCCTAATTGTATTTTTTATATACACTTTATATACTATAGATACATTTTTTTATATACACTTTAGAACCCATGTATTCAGAGGGATATTTAGTTTCCTATGTACTTGGCTGAGCACTCCCATGTGTGAGGCACTGAAAGCTCTGGTTTGTCAAAAACAACTCAGGGATGATGATCAGTAATTCGAACTATGAAGTGTTGCTGATGTTCTTTCATCTACATCCATCTCCTGCTGTAAGGTTGCTTAATTCAAAATGCTCATGGGCTTTGGGAATCCTGGTGGCTCCTGTAGCAGGGAGGCCAAGTGACATGCACTGGGGTGTGTGTCTAATCCTAGATTTTTGCTTCAGATTGATAAGCAGCTTGCTGTAGTTTCACCTGCAGCCTGCAGGTGTTGTAGGAGCTCTGGCCAGTGTGTATCCAGGTGCTAATGGAGTTTTAACTTGTCCATTGGTAGGTGCTTTTGTTAATTTGGGTTTTTCATATAGTTCCATGCAGAAGTCATGAAGAAGTTCCTTCTGATAGGGTTTTTGGGTTTGGCTTTTCCCCGGGGTTTTAAGTTTGAGCTTATTAAGGACACAGATAAACTCTGGGCCTTTCTTTTTGTCTAATTATTTCCAACAATATTGTCTTGTTAGACTTTGCATAATTTGAAATCATAGTTCATGGAGGAGAAAAATGCAGTCAAGAAAGTGGAGGCCAAGAAATGTCATTTCTGGCAGACAAGTGTAAGTCAAGGAGAGCTGCAGCTGTTCTGGTGATCCTAAGTGTTAGGTTTTCTTCATGCTTTCCAAACAATGGACAGGTTCTCAGAGTACAGAGCTTGCAGTCCTGTCTCCTCCTTGGGCAGCCTGCTTTGTTTCTCTTTGACTTCTGGCGTCTGTTGGGAATGCAGAATGGCTGAGATGGTAACTTACAACTTGAGAGTCCTCTGTTCTGGTTCACCCAAGCCTTCTGTTTCAGCTCTAAAATGTATCTCCCTGTATCTTATGTACGTCGTATGTATGTGTTTGGTAAACGTTTTGAAGTGCTCTGATGCCATAGTAGTGAGGACCACATGGCTGCTTTTGAAAGAAGTGTCGAAGCCTAACCCCTTTTAGATGAAATGAATGAATATATTCAATACTGAAAAGAATGAGCATATGTTTTGAATACTTTTCTCTGCGTCTTTTTGTTTTACCCAGGCTGGCCCAGTTATATCTGTCTGAAGTTACTGCTGGGCAGTGTCATTCACAGCTTTCATAGTATTGACACTCAGGATTGTCAGGATTCTTTTTTAATGCACACGTATTAAACCATTTGAGCATGGGGCAAGTCCAGGTCTTGTGGTGTTGAAAATAAGGGAGTTTGGTTGGGTTTCTGTATCTGGACAGAGGGTGAGCAGAGTCTTTTTGTCAACAAAGCATCCAAAGGGCTGGTGTGTTTGCCTCTCTCTGATGTCTTGGGGTCTCCTGGCACCAACCAAGAATATCCCAGACATTGGGCAAATGGAGTTGGAGGGGAGTGGTGGAAAGTAGCAGCTTCTGCCTTCTGATATGGCCTCCTGCTGCCTTGTGGGCAGAGCCTTGCATCTCGGGCCAAATGACCACGGACTAAAACATCAATATGCCTTGAAAAGGGAGCACTACTGGAAGTGGGGGGTTTGCTTTTTCCCAGGAGGAAGTCCAGTATCTTCAGTGTTTCACCAGCCATGAATCCTGGATGAAAGAGTCCCGGGCTCAGATATGAAGTGAATGAATCATTACATCTCTACCTGTATCAGTTTCCTGCAGATAGCGAGAGTGAGGATTTACACTTTAGTTCTCTCTGCTGGAGGCAGGAGACACCATGTGCTGTGGTGGTAAAAACAGAGGCTTCATGACCAGGAGCTGCAGTTCCTGAGTGGAAGGCCTGCTGGTGAAGAGATGGGTCTCTGCTGGGTGTGCTGCTCTGCCCAGGTAAGGTCCTCCTGCAACCTGAGCAATGGTTCCTGAAGTTCAGTGAGCCTTGGGAGTAGATGTGGGTGACATTTGCTGCTGTGTCCCACAGGGGGAGGCCAGGGCAAGGGGTGCAGGCAGCAAGTGAAATCCCACAGCAGTGCCAGCCCTGGGGGCTGCGTGCTGGCAGCAGGGGTGTCTGCAGCCATCGTCACTGATGCTGCTGTTACCCAGCGTGCGCCCAGAGCTTGGCTGGGTCTATGGGCCAGCACATGATGATCTTGTTTGATGTGTGCCTGAGGGTGTCTGACAGCTCACCAGCCTCATGTGCTCCATGGGATGGCTCCATGCCTCGGAGCTGGAACAGATCCACTTTTGCATCCTGTCCCAGGGCTTGGCTTCCTGCACTCAGTGCATCATGTCTAAAGCCATAGTGTGTGGCTGCTTCCAGAGATACAGTCCTCTCCTGTGAAGCTTTTCCTCGTTAGAATGACTTCTGAAGCATCATCCTGCCTGGCTGAAATGCTTCCTCTGGACCATTTCTGCCTGAAGGCTTAGTTTTTCAAAGGTATTTAGTAAATGAAGCCCTGTTATCTTTGAGGAGCTGTGTATAAATAGCGATGGGAGCTTTTATTCTCTTTCAGCTTATCAGAGATTTATAGCCTTATTTACTTCAGACTTTCTCTTGGTTTCATACTTGGCAGCAGAGATTGCTTTCGCAGCAACAATCCTCCCTGTTCTTTGTGCCCAAGAAGGCTGGAGTCTCCCATCTTCCTCCTGGGGGCATTGCTCTCACTGGCAACTTTTGCACAGGGGCTTTGGACCTCATGGTCTTGAGTTGCTGATGTGGAGCCTGCCAGGCTGTGTCACAGAGGCCAGAGGAGCTGGGAGCCATCCTGCTTGGTCCTCTGCAGTAACCAGGCCATGGAGAACAGCTGAGGGGGGGGGTGTTCTCCAAGCTGCCCCTCTGCATTTGTGGAGGAAAACACTGCCCTGAGGGTTCTATACAGAGCTGGGCAGTAGGCAGTTACTATCTGGGAGTTTCATCCGCTTCTGGTCACTTACCTCACTGTTACAAGGCTGCTTTCAGAAGCTGTCAGCATGCATGATCATGGAGAAAAGCAGATTGAAAGCCTCTGGTTTGAAACTAAGTCGGGGATCTGAAGGAGCAGCGGTCGCTTGGTAACGTCAGGTTTGTGTCCCACCACTTCGATGCAGAGACAGTTGAGGGCTGTGGGATGGGGCTGCAGCCAGGGCCGACCTGACCAGAGCTGCCCAGGGGCTCTGCCCGCTCCTCCTGCCCCCGGGGCCAGCGAATCGGGGCTGGTGGCCACTAGAGGACGGTGCAGACCGGGCCAGGCTCTGCGCAGAGCACGGCTCCCGCAGCACCCGCCTGGCTGTGCAGGAAAGGCAGCGAGCAGCGCGTTTGCTGGAGGTCGAACCTAAACCTCGATTCCTGCGGCTCCCATGAGGATGCGTGTGCCCACCCGGGCTGGAGCATCAGTGCAGCGTGGATGATGTGTAACTACGCAGGAGAGAAATCCCAGCAAGCGTTAATGGGATGTATGGTGGCTCTGCCTAGGAAATTGCCTTGCCGTGACCCTGTTGTGCCATGGCACTTGTGTGTCACCAGCTGCAATGGCTGAGCCTGTCAGTGAATGCTTTGCTTGCTGATGCTGCATTGCTGTGCTGTGCTGTGTGAACAGCCTTCTCCTGGTGCTTCCTGAAGGAGCCACACGTGGCATTTCATCCTTATGGTTTTAAAGCGTGTCCTGAAGATTTCAGTCCCAATTTAGAAATATATTCTGATTCAGGGTAGCATTTAAATGTATGCTTTAAATGTCATGGCAGATGAGATGGAGATTTGTGCTTTAGAGCACTTGGCTGTGTTTAATGCTCCCCAAGGTTCCTTACTGAGGAGCTGGGGTGGCAAAGCATACACCAGCAGGGCAAAGACTGCAGCCCCAAATGCCAGGCTTGCTCTCAGAGGTCCCTTCAACCTAAGCAACAATTCCACCTCCAAAAACCTTATGGCCAGATGGAGCACTCGGTGCAGTCGTGCAGGAAACCTGCATTGCTCACTGGTGTTGGCTGCTGTGGAGCATCTCTTCCTCTTCAAGTGCTGTCCCTGGGGAATGGGCTGGGTTTGGGTCTCTGAGACCCTGCCTACACGGTCACCTCTGAGCTCAGGGTATGGTCATTGTGCCACGCTGTCAGGCTTGTGTCCTTTGTGAAAGTCACATTCTCACCATCTGGAGTCGCTGGCTGCAGATGCAGGGTCCCAGCTTTACCTTGGTGCTAGGGAGAAAGTGAGGGGAGAGGGATCTGCTGGTGCAGGTTTGTCCTTCTGCCTGAACAAGTGCTTTACTCAGCAAAACATGCATGAGGGCATGTAAAAACCAGGCCTGAATCTCAGCCATGGGCTCAAATAAGGTGGTCTCATGGTCCCTTCTGGCTTTCAATCTGTCGATGGGTGAGAGATGCACATACAGATAAATAATGAGGAGAGCGAGCATCCAATTAAACCCTCATCCCAGCCACCCAGTAGGAACTACCTCTTTATCACTCTGTAATACATCAGAAAGGCTCTCTTGATGGTTTTCTACTGCATATAGCAAAACAGAGCAGGATTCTGTTTTAGCTGTTTCTAACTATTCATCATTGCTATGTCTAAACTTGATCTTACCTGGATAATAGGGCTCCAAGCAGTGATAAAATAAAGTGAAATTAAAATAACTACATAATAAAATTCCAGATTAAGCTGAAATTATGGTAAATCTTTTTAGAGCTGTGGAAAGGTAATAGCTAAACTGCATGGACTCAGTGTTTTGTTGAATGACTGTGATTAAATGTGTTGATCCTCATTATAGCTTTATGTC